TGACTCTGTCTATTTAACATATGTTGGCGACGTCCATTTGTACTATCTCTTGACACTGTCTATTTAACAGATGTTGGCGACGTCCATTTGTACTACATCTTGACACTGTCTATTTAACAGATGTTGGCGACGTCTATTTGTTCTGCATCTAGACTCTGTCTATTTAACAGATGTTGGCGACGTCTATTTGTACTATATCTTGACACTGTCTATTTAACAGATGTTGGCGACGTCCATTTGTACTATATATTGACCATGTCTATTTAACAGATGTTGGCGACGTCTATTTGTACTACATCTTGACATTGTCTATTTAACAGATGTTGGCGAGGTCCATTTGTACTATATATTGACACTGTCTATTTAACATATGTTGGCGAGGTCCATTTGTACTACATCCTGACACTGTCTATTTAACAGATGTTGGCGACGTCCATTTGTACTACAACTTGACACTGTCTATTTAACAGATGCTGGCGACGTCCATTTGTACCCTATCTTGACACTGTCTATTTAACATATGTTGGCGACGTCCATTTGTACTATATCTTGACACTGTCTATTTAATAGATGTTCGCGACGTCCATTTGTACTACATCTTGGCACTGTCTATTTAACAGATGTTGGTGACGTCCAAAATGAAACATTAATTTCAAAATATGTTTTCATGTATGAAGAAAAACGTAGTTACAATATTTTTTGAAAACTTAGCATATGTAGTGCTACCAGTCGGCGTACTGGTACGGTGGCCTACAGAACATGTTCTCTGTTCGCGTTATCACTGACACAGATACAGGCTGTTTACCTACCCACTAGTAGTCATCGTTGCCAGGTTTATGCTGAGCACACACCGTTAATAAAGCAAACCATGACTATGTTGCTGTGTAGCGTTTAGCAGAGATGTCTTATTTGTGTCAGTGTAAGGGCACGCTCGATTATTTATAACATTTCCATCCCGTTGTTATAACTACTCTGAATCTAAATACTTTTAGCCTGATCCGAAAAACATGCCGTTAAGAATAGCCGTCCAACAGCATTACATTCACCAACGAGAGAAAAATTGAGTGTCAAACGTAAGACGCAGAAGCGATGGAGGTGGTTACGTCACTTACGAAACGGAAGTTATAGTGGCGAATGAGTCCAGGGTACTTATCGTAAGAATGTATATAATGGCGATATGGTACCCTGGACAATTGAGGATGGAA